CCCTTTACTTGCTGAGGCATCTTACTGGCTCACAGAACATGAATACCTTTTTTTTTTTTTTTCGAGATAGTGTTTCTCTCTCTCTCTCTCTCTCTCTCTCTCTCTCTCTCTCTCTCTCTCTTTTTTTTGTTTTTTGTTTTTTTTTGTTTTTTGTGACAGGGTTTCTCTGTGTAGCCCTGGCTGTCCTAGAACTCACTCGGTAGACCAGGCTGGCCTCAAACTCAGAAATCCACCTGCCTCTGCCTCCCAAGTGCTGGGATTAAAGGCGTTCACCACCACCGCCCAGTGGCTCAATGTTTCTTAAAGTGACAAAAGTCCATCTCACCTACTTGCTATAGATTGAAAAAGAATAACAACACCGAAACATGCTTATAAAGACATTTTGAATTGTGCTTATATTTCCCTAAGTGCTGTTCCCAAAGGTGCTCAAGCCTTCACACAGTTGGAGTTGCTGGGAGGAGATAGAACATGGCAAAAAGAAAGGGGCTTCTCAGAGCAAGCCTCTGACTCAAGGCCAGCTTTGGAGCTAGCCTCAGGTGAAGTCTGGATCAGAGGGAGGAGTACAGTAATGGAAAGGCAAGGCATCTCATTAGAGTCAAGCGGAGTCAAAGACAGCATTAAGAGACTCTGCTGTTGTTGCAGAGGACTAGGTTTGGTTCCCAGTAATCACAACCATCTGGTCTGATATTCTCATCCAACTTGTCAGTGAGACTCTGCCAGCTCAGCTTGTTCCACTCTTCATTCTACATCTTCAATAGTCAGCAGCATACAAGCAACCTCTCCATACTTCATATTTGGCTTTCCTGCAGTGGGCTTACTTTCTTGGGCCAGATTTCCTGAAGTATCATTGTGTTAGTTAGGGTATCATTGCTGTGAAGAGACACCATGACCAAGGCAACTCTTATAAAGGAAGCCATTTAATTAGGGCCGGCTTACAGTTTCAGAGGTTTAGTCCATTATCATGGAGGGAAGCATGACAGCGTGCAGGCAGACATGGTGTTGGAGGAGCTGAGAGTTCTACAGCTTGATCTGCAGGCAGAAGGAGACCACCACACTGGGTATAGCTTGAGAATAGGAGACCTCAAAGCCTGCCCCAACAGTGACACATATTCTTCAATAAGGTCACACTTCCTAATAGTGCCACTCCCTATGGCCAAGCATTCAAACACATGAGTGTATGGGAGGGGGCATACCTATTCAAACCACCATACCATGGAACCTGGATCTAGTGCTATATCTCAGCCATGGTGCCCACCAGCTGCTTCTTACACTCAGGTACCTGCTTCATTCAGCATTATAGCTGCTTTTCATAGGAACTGATTTTTAATTTCCTTAGGGAAAAAAGATTTGTTTTGATCCTTATAACTCTTAAAGTAAGCTGGTCATGGTGACACATGCCTTTAATCCCAGTACTCAGGTGGCAGAGGCAGGTGACTCTCTTGAGTTTAAGGTCAGCCTGGTGTACGTATTGAGTTCCAGGACAGCCAGGCTATGTATTGACCCTGACTCAATGAAAAAAAAAGTATTATGTAAATTGTAACTCTGTGTGTGTGTGAGCCGGGGGGGGGGAGGGGAGGGGGGGAGAGAGAGAAAGAGAGCTTTCGAGCAAGAGCGCACATACCCACAGAAGGCAGAAGAGGGTAACAGACCTCTTGTAGGTGGAGTAGCAGATAGTTGTGAACTATCTGACATGGGCTCTAGAGGCAGAACTCGGGGCATTTGAAAGAGCTGTACATACTCACTGCTGAGCCATATCTCTATCTCCCCATTGTGGAACTCCCCTCATTCCCAAGCAGGATCTCATCTCATTACATAGTCCTCGGAATGCTGGGATTAAAGGGAAGTACTACCACACCCAGTGACCTTGTACAACTTTTAACAAACTTTGAAGTTCAGAAAAGTACACAAATTATGAACCTTTGGACTTAATAAATTTTTAGGATGTGAACATCTGTGTTATCCCATCTATATCAAGAAATATTGCTAACATTCTAGGAAGCCCATCCAGTGACTCATTTCTAGTACCATCTATTCACCTAGCTTCTTTTTATATATAAATTGCTCCCTTCTGTAAATATTGTTTAAAGCCTTCCTCTTGATGTTAGGTCTGTGAAAGCCGTGCTGCTGTGTTTGCATTGTGTTCATTTTCATGGCTCAGTGCTCTGAACATACTGCAATTGATAATTCTTCTGTTGAGTTGATTTAGTTTCAGGACCGTTCCAAGTAGTGCTGCTTTAAACATTTTTTGGCCTTTCAGTGCACCTATGTACACACTTGGGTAAAATCCTAGGAGTGTAATTAAGTGAGTTAGAAGCTATCCATATTGCCAAAGAATTGCAGTGCCAATTTGTTCTCCAGAAAGCAGTGTCACTGGCCTGTAATTCCAACACTTGGGACATGGTATCTGGAATACTGGGAGTTCAAGGCCTTTTTGGAGATACAGTCAATTCTAGGCTAGCTTGGGTTACACATGACCCTGTCTTAAAAAAGAGGAAAACACCCCCCTAAAAGCACAGTAATTGATTTATGTCAACCTTAGATCGTACAAGATAAGGAGTAGTGGCCTTAGTATCTCCATTCCCTTCTGCACTGATCCGTCAATTATTTTTAGCTCTTCAGTTTGGATATGCTACAGTTCGAAATACCTTTTATTTTAGTTTGTGTGTGTGAGTATGTGTGTGTGTGTGTGTGTGTGTGTGTGTAGGTGTACACATATAAGGGCCTCTGTGTCATTTGTCATTTCCTCTGAATCTAGAGTTCTAGCCAGGTGTGAGCTGCCTAACTGCCTAAAATGGCTGTTAGGAAGCAAACTTGGGTCCTTTAGAGCAGAAGTATACACTCTCAACCGCTCAGCCATCTCCAGCCCTGGGATGCTACAATTGCAAATAACAGGTGGCTCAGGGGGCTAAGGCAGGCCACCAAGCCTGTAAACCCAAGTTCAATCCCTGGGACTCACAAGGTAAAAGGAGAGAACCAACTCCTACAAGTTGTCTTTTAATAGCTTGTCACATGGATTGTGGCATGCTTATGCAGACACACGCACACATGTGCATTCATGCTTGCACAAATGCACATACTCACAAAAAATAAATCAGTGTAATGAAGACTTAGGAAGCAGCTCTGTTAATTGTTCTTGTCTTTCTTTGCCCAGGCTGCCCTCAGACTCATCTACCTTAGTTTTCTAAGTGTCTGACTCCCACTAATTTTGTTTGAGTTATGCTTTTACTCTGTAGCTCAGGCTGGCTGGAATTCAGTATATAGTCTGGTCTTGAATTTGCTTCAGTCTTCTGCTTTAATGTTGTATTTATTTTAACTTTTTCTGAAAGGAAAACAATTTTTCTATATAATATATTTTGACTCTGTTTTTTCCTCTCCTCAGATTCCCCCCAGATCTGCTATATCACTTTAAGTGCTAGGATTATAGGTGTGAACCACCATGCTGAGCAACTGTAATTTTTTTTAAAAGTATTGGTTTTTTTTCCTTTTTTAGTGCCTTGCACATGTTAGGCATCATCCTTCCACAGAGCTACAGCCCTAAGCCATTAATTTTCAAAGTATCTTTTGTCTAACTATGTAAGAGAACTATACTACCTCAGTTGTATTCAGAAAGGAAGAAACCTTTGTGTTTTTTGGGGGGAGGATGGAGTGGGGTCTGAGACAGGGTTTCTCTTTGTAGTACTGCCTGTCCTGCAACTCATTATGCAGATCAGGCTGGCCTCAAACTCATAGAGATTTGCCTGCCTCTGCTTTCCTAGTGCTTGGATTAAAGGTGTGCACCACCACCATCCAGCTAGAAATCCCTCCCCCCCTTTTTTTTGAGACAGGGTTTAGAAATCCCCTTTTTTAACCAGAAAGGGAAGGTAGAGTTTACAGTTGTGACATGTCATGTGACCAAATGACATTAATAATTAGGACACAGAAGGCAAATAGATCTAGGTAGTTGTGGTGATGCTCACCTGTAATCTCAAAATCCAGGAGGCCCAGGCAGAAGGGTAGGTTTTAGGCCAACCCGAGCTATGCATAGCAAGACCCTGCCTTGAACAAAGATACGACAAAAGAGAAGAAGGTAAAAACAATGATTCAAGGGAGAAGAAAACCAGAGTAAATGCTTTTTTGGTTTGCTTTTGTATGAGTATCTTCCATATTGGTGATAGAACTGTTTAACATACCAGTCTCAGTTCCTATGGTATAATATGATAGAAGTTTATTATTCACTTAATGTTCCAGTATGTGTTTTCTTTGCAGGTAGAGGGTCTTTCCTGTGTGTACATGGAATTTGGGCCAGGCTACTTTTGTCCTCTGACCCTGTCATCTTAGAGCACCCTGATGACTTCTGTATTTAACCAGAGTGAGGAAGAGATGCAGGACAAAGACCATGTCCTTCTAAGAATAAAAATCTGGTTGATAAAGTGATACTCATAGCCTGGACTAACATGGGGGTCAACAGACTGGAAAATATAGTGTACTACTGGATGCTGCCGCTTGTCCCTCAGTTCCTACTGCACTAGATACTTTGGGAGATAGTTTTTGGTAGATAGCCACCTAGCTAGCTGCACTGTCATATCGTCCTTAAGATAACAGGATCATTAACGTTTATCAACTCGGGACAGTTTACTGTTTAAAAGATAGTAATTATTTTTAAATCATGAATTTTTATAGGGATATAAGTTTAGACTTATTGCTAACCGGCATTCTTGCCTCCTTTGGTAGCATATAATTAGGTTTTGTTTTAACTTTATCTTTTGGCAGTGCTATGAATGGGACCCAAGGGCCCTTGAAGCAAAGCACTGCTACCTCAGAGCTATACTCCAGCTGTTTTACTTTAATAGACTTATGTTTAGCCGTTTAGATCATGTCTCAGTGAAACCTAAAAGCTACCTTTGTTTACATCGAACACACAAACCACTAAGTAAAAGTACTGTTAAACTATGACATGCCGTTGGTTATAAATATTTATTCCATTCAATTTAACTCTTTCTTTTTAATTTCTCTCCTTGTAGTTTGAAAGTGGCACAATGGAAGAAGCTAGAATCTGTGGGTTAGGAGTAAAAGCAGACATGGTATGTAATTCTCAAGCAAATGATATTCTTCAACATCAAGACTCCAGTTGTGGTGGCACAACTAAGAAGCATTCACTGGAAGGGGATGAAGGCACTGACTTTATAACCAACAGAAATTTGGTGAGCTCAGTATTCTGTACACAGGAGACAAGAGAAGAAATTCCTGGACGAGAAGCTCGAACAGGTCCTCCTGATGGCCAGCAAGATTCAGAGTGCAGCAGGAACAAAGAGAAGACCTTAGGTAATTAATAAGCTCTGTACATTAGTTGCATGTTTTCATCTATTGCTCATTTTATTCACATTGTGTCCAACACAGGTGACCATGAACACTGCTAGGTCGGATATGCTTAACTAAAACCCCTGTACGGGCCAGTGAGGTGGCTCCATGGATACTTGGCAGTAAGCTGAGTCTGATACCTGGGACCCACAATTGTCAAACTTGTAGCACAACTGGTACAAGTTTTCTTCTAACATCCACACATGTACTGTGGCATACACACACACACACACACACACACATACACACACACACACAATCAGTATAAAATAAATACTTGTTACCTCAGGTTAGTCAGCTTGTTTGCAGTTATGTGCAAGAGGTGGAAAAAATAGAAGGAAGCTTAGGTATTTCTCTCTATATAATCAAGAATTAATTCTTGATAAAATTTGAGGATAGAGTGGCAGTTGACTTGCATTATTTGCATCTTTACTAGGCTGATCAAAAAGTATGTGAAAACTATATATTTAATTAGTTTAAGACTGGACATTCTAGCACTCAGGAGACAGAGGCAGGTAGGTCTCTCTGAGTTTGAGGACAGCCTGATCTACAGAGTTCCAGGACAGCTAGGGTTACACTGAGAAACAACAAGAAAAGACTGGACATAAAATTCTATAAACAGTAAGTTAATTGTACTTCAGAAAGTGAATTAACCAGGTTTCAAAGGTATTTTTTGCTTTCTACATAGCTTGCAATTTAGATAAAAAATGTGATATGCTTAATCTTTTTTTTTTGAGACAAGGTCTCCTATAGTTTATATAGTTTATATAGTTTATAGTTTATAGCTGACTTTAAACTTCTTGTATCACTAAGGTTGGCCTTTAACTCTTGATTCTCTTGACTTCCCAAGTGCATCAAGGCGTGCATGCCTGGCCAAACCATTAAACTGTGTGTTGTGTATTGTGTCATTGTCCTCCATGCCAAGGATTGAACCTGTGGCCTCATGCATGCTAGGCAATATCTTGTGATATGCTGAATCTCATGAAGAAGATTCAAATCTCCTTTGAGTCTCACTGGTTGCCCCTTAATTTTTTTTTTTTTTTGAAGGTCTCACTATGTAGACCTGCCTGGTCTGTAATTTGCTATATAGACTAGGCTGCCTCAAATTTATAGATAACCACCTATCTCTGCCTCCTAAGTGCTACAGATAAATTTTCCACCACATAATTTACATCTATGATTGATAAGGGGTGTTTTTTTTTCTTTGTTTTTGTTTTGAGGCAGCCTCAGTATGCAGCCCTGGGTAAAAATTAGGCTGGCCTTGTTCTTACCTAGGATTAAAGGTGTTTGCCACCACACCCAGCTCTATAGGTGTTGTATATATGTTTACAGTTACTTTTCTTTTGGGAAAGGGTTTTCTTTTTTGTTTTGTTCTTTTGAGACAAAGTCTTGTATGTAGCCCAGGCTGACTTTGAACTCGGTTTATAACCAAAGATGACTCTGACCTGAACCTTTTGTCTTCACCTCCCAAGTCAAATTAGGGCTATAAGTGCATACCACCATGGCTTGTCTGAGTTGCCTTTCTTGTTAACATAATCTCCTCTTTAAAATGTAAAAGTTAAGGAATATGAAAAGTAACTTTTAAAAAAGATTTATTTATTTTACTTCTATGAGTACACTGTAGCTGTCTCCAGACACACCAGAAGAGGGCGTCAGATCCCATTACAGATGGTTGTGAGCCACCATGTGGTTGCTGGGAATTGAACTCAGGATCTCTGGAAAAGCAATCAGTGTTCTTAACTGCTGAACCATCTCTCCAGCCCCCAAAAGTAATTTTATTTCCTTAGAAATGACACCTTTCCTAAATCAGTACTTTACTATATGTACAAGCAATTCAGCAATTCTATTTCTAGGCATATATACCCAAGAAGATTAAAAACTTGTATACACAGAAGTTTGTAGAAAATGTTCATAGCATTATTATCCTTAATAGCTCAAAAGTAGAAAAAGCATGAATATTCATTAGGTGATGACAAGTAAGAGTAAACAAAGTGTAGTCGATCCATAGGATACAATACTACTTAGCATAGGAGGGAAGGGAGCATTGTTACAATCTTTCACAAAGGAAGCTAGCAAACTATTTTGCAATGTAAAAGAAGCCAGACACAAAAGGCTCTGCATTGTATACCTTTGTATGAAATATCCAGAATTGTAAAATTTGTGGAGATAGAAAATAGATTAGCGGGGCTGGAGAGCTGGCTCAGTTGTTAAGAGCACTGATTATTCTTCCAGAGGTCATGAGTTCAATTCCCAGCAGACTGAAGCTTTTAATAATATTCTTTGCCTTTTTTTTTTTTTTGGTTTTTCAAGACAGGGTTTCTCTGTGTAGCCCTGGCTGTCCTGGAACTCACTCTGTAGACCAGGCCGGCCTCAAACTCAGAAATCCGCCTGCCTCTGCCTCCCAAGTGCTGGGATTAAAGGCGTGCACCACCACCGCCCTGCTTTCTTTGCCATTTTTAATTTGCCATTTGTGTTAACATAGATACCTAATGGTTAGACAAGGGAATATTTACCTCTCCATAAGAATTCTTAGTTAGCAGTGTTATTGAGTGTAGAAATCTAAGATGGGGGACGGGGAGTGGCTGGAGAGGTGGCTCAGTGGTTAGGAGCTCTGGCTGCTCTTCCAGAGGTCCTGGGTTCAATTCCCAGAACCCACATGATAGCCCACAACTGTGTGGAACTCCAGTTCCAGGGGATCCAGTATCCTCACATAGACACACATGCGGGGAATACACAGAAAATAAACAAACAAGCAAATGTTTCAAAAAATAAGAAAGAAAGAAATCTAAGATGAGAATGGGTGAGGAACAGAGGAGGGTCTGTTAATCCAGAATGTAAAAATAGCTCCTCACCTTCCTGAGAATCAAGCCCAGGACATGCTAACCAATTGTTCTTCCACTTAGCTGTATCACTAAATAGTTTGATTTGGCTTTCGTTTTCTGATACAGGGTCTTACTCTGGCCCAGGATGGTCTTGAACTTGAGGATCCTTTTGCATGTCACAACTAGTTGTTTGAGACAATATACCCAGCTCAAAATACTTATAAAATTGAACTGGCAAATACCATATTTCTTGTTGTAGGTAGAAATTATTTTGTTCTGAGATTAGAACATGGGAAGTATTGGTACACTTCACAGGTCATATTTGATCTTATTATTCAGGACTTATTTCTCACCTTGTTAATCATTAGGAAAAGAAGTTTTATTACTGATGCAAGCGCTAAACACCCTTTCAACCCCAGAGGAGAAGCTGGCAGCTCTCTGTAAGAAATATGCTGATCTCGTGAGTATTCAATCACAACCATGAGGGCCATAAAATATAACAATATATTGTGTGTGCTTGATAAGCTTTTTAAAATATAATTTTGATGTAGCTTAAAATGTAAAATGTTTTATTCAAAAATTGGAAGGGAGAATATGATCTCATGGTCTTTTGTGGTTTTTATTATTTTCCTTTATTGATTGAGTGAATGTTTGATTGGTTTTTAGAGGTAAATTCTTGCTATGTATTCTTGGCAAGCCTAGAAATTGCTATGTAGATCAGGTTAGGATTAAATAACTCCTAGAAGTTAGCCTGTTTCTGCCTCTGCCTTTCCAGTGCTGGGATTAAAGGTATATGCTAGCACACCCAGCTGATTTTTCTAGCATATAGAGAACACCATAGTGCTAAACTGTGGTTTAGATTGTTTTCTTTCCTTTGTATTTGAAACGGGGTCTGGTTTTATTGTGGATGTAGTCTTCCACAATATTGTGGATGTCAGCTTCTGGGCTCAAGTGATCCTTCTGCCTGAGTCTTTTTTTTGTTTAAAAGTTTGTTTTGTTTTGTTTTTCGAGACAGGGTTTCTCTGTGTAGCCCTGGCTGTCCTGGAACTCACTCAGTAGACCAGGTTGGCCTCAAACTCAGAAATCCACCTGCCTCTGCCTCCCAAGTGCTGGGATCAAAGGCGTGCGCCACCACCGCCCGGCTGCCTGAGTCTTTATAGTTAAAATTATAAGCGTGTACCATCATACCCAGCTCAAATAGATTTTCTAAAATTCGGTGTTAGGTGTTATTTCATTTATCTTTTGGGGCGATGTGTATATTTGTGTATGCATGCGTGTGTGTACAGGTGTGTGCCATATGCCTACAGTACACCTGTATGCATGAAGCCCTGGGTTTCATTCCCAACACTTGCAGCTAGGGATCTGATGCCCTCTCTGGCCTTTGTACCAGGAAAGTAACATAAATGTATACATGTAGGCGAAATGCCCACACACATAACATTTTTAAAAGATACCCCTGGAAGAACATCTAGGACTAGGGGTGTATACGTATAGCTCAGTCATAGAGCATTTATCTTATACGTACAAGGTCTTGGATTCAATTCAATAAAATAACAATATGGAAAAATAAAAAAAATACCTACAAATATGAAACAAAAAAAAAACAGTGGAAAGCAGGGCAGAAGATAAGAAAGACATTTCATAGAAGTAGAAAACCAAAGATAACGTAGCGTAATGGTATATATATATAGGTATATAGAGGTATTATTAACTTCATGTAGTGGTCAGAGAGGAAAATCACAATGAGATGCCATTTTCCCTCCCTCTCTTTTAAAGATGGTCTCACTATGTAACCCTGGCTGGCCTGGAATTCAGCAAAGATCACCAGTGTTTGCCACTGCCTCCTGAGTGTTTTGTTGTTGTTGTCGTTGTTGTTGCTTTGTTTTGTTTCTGTGTAGCCCTGGCTTTCCTGGGTTTCACTGTGTAGACCAAGCTGGCTGTGAACTCAGAGTTTCACCTACCTCTGCCTCCTGAGTGCTGTGATTGAAGGCTCACGCCACCATCACCAGGCTGGCTCATAAGGTAGCACTTTTACAACTGCAAAACCTTTTTGAAAAATTATTTATTTAAATATAAGAATACCCTGTCTGTATATACATCTACATGCCAGAAGAGGGCATCAGATCCCTTTATGAGCCACTGTCTAGTTGCTGGGAATTGAACTCGACCTCTAGAAGAGTAGCCAGTGTTCTTAACCGCGGAGTCACCTGACCACCCCACATGCCTAGTCCAGTCTTCAGATACTTAAAGAGGATAGATTTGCATGGTCTCTTGTCTTTGTTTCCCACTTTTAAGAAATTACTGTTAATTACATATGTATGTGTGAGTCTTTGCACATTCATGTTCAAAAGCCTGAACAGTTTCAGATCCCCTGGAGCTGGGGTTATAGGCAGTTTTAAGCTTCCCTACATGGGTGTTGAGAACAGAACTTGGGTCTTCTGCAAGAGCAGTATGCACTCTTAACCACTGAGCTACCTCAACAGCCCCTGCATGATCTTTAGTATAGTGCTATGGGATATACAGATTTGCCAGAAACTTTGGAAGACATTTAGTAATGTCATATGAATTGAACATCTAGGAGCCAGCACCCCGGAGAATTTCATTTATGTTTATACCAGGAAAATATGTGTATTATGTAGCCTGTGGGCTAAATCCAACTAACACCTGTTTTTTTCTGAACTGTCCACAAGTGAGAGTGGGTTTCTTTCTCTATTTTTTTTCTTTTTCTTCTCGGGGAGTCACTGGGGGGCGGGTTTCAAGACAACATTTGCTTTCTCTGTGTAGCCATGGCTATCCTGGAACTCATTTTATAGGCCAGGCTGGCCTCAAACTCAGTGCTTTGTCTCCATCTGCCTCCTGAGTGCTGGGACTAAAGGCTTATACCACCACACCTGCTAAGAGTGGATTTTTTTTAATGCATTTAAAAAGTATACGATGGCTGGTGTGGCGGCATATGCCTTTAAGGCCATCACTTGGTAGGCAGGTGGGTCTCTATGAGTTTGAGGTCAGCCTGGGCTACATATCAAGACCCTGCTCAAAAAAAAATAATAATACATGTCAAGCTTTGAAAATGGGAAGTGGCTTGTCATTGGAACTCAGCAATTCTGATACTCTCCAAAACCTGTACATATTTGACCAGACATGTAGCATGTCTCTTATGGTGAGTGCAAGAAGCAATCAAGGATCTCCACAGAGGAGGAATACAAGCTGATGTATGGGATGCACTTTTGATTCATTTGTCAGTGTCTCTGCTAGACATAGCATGGCTTTCTGGCTTTCCAAACTAGCAGTTACAATCTCCATTACTATGACATTGTCATGAATACTGCCGACTTGGATATGAGTTCTTCTGAGATGTGCTGTATCACATCTACAGTGTGCTTGCTGTATGTGGAGCTGTTCTGAAGAATCCTCTCTGCCTGCTGGGACTAACTGCAAAGTGAGCTCTTTTGTTCCTGGCTAGCTTCTTTTGTCTGCTCTTTGCCCTTCTCAGTTGGAGCCAGTTGAAACAACTACATCACTCCCAGAAGAATCTCTTGTCTGCCTGGGCCCTTCTTGGCTTGTGGCATTATGATACTTACCTGCCTCCCCAAATTTTCAACCTGAAGGTCCCCACTTCTTACCTGCAAGTCATCAGAATGAAGCCCATTGGAGCCCTTTCCAGTTTTATTCCCGTCTAACTCTGAGAGAAACATAGAATAACCTTTTTTATATAACAGAGCCTGTGGCCCACAGTGACCCCCCCCCCCCAATAATCCCTGATTAGTAGGTATATACCAACAATTTTGTTGAGTTGTAGCAATATAATCCAGAGTTTGACATTCTGGAGTCACCATGTAGCTGCTTAATTAATGTAGTGTAAATTAATGGAAATTATTAAAGCAAACATACCAGTTCTTTGGTTGTACTAGTACATCCTAAAATCACAACAATGAAAAACAAAGAGTGTTTGCTTTTTTAAAATGTATTTAAGACTATCCAGATGAAATAACATAAAAGGGGCAGCAAAGGATTGGTGAGCACAGGGTTGTAGGAACCCTGGAGCATGGCTAGTTGCAGTAGTTCAGTCTGACTCTTAAGCCGCTCAAGTTATATTGCCATGCCTAGTCCATACATGGGCAACTTCATATATGGAAGATAGGAATTTCTAGAGAAGTATCTGTAAATAGATAGTTCGGAAAGTTTTTGGTTGGTTGGTTTGGTCTTTTACAGACAGCCTTATTTGTCCCAGGTCAGTCTGCAACTCATGTTGTCAAGTATGATCATGAACTCCTGATCTTGCCTTCAGTATCTTCTCAAGTATTGGGGTTGCAAACATGACCTGCCATATCCTACAATGATGCTTTTGGTGTGTTTTAATGGGCCACAAGGTGGCACTCTTGCTCTGTGACTCAGCATCAATTTCTTCAGAAAAAGCTGTTCAGAAAGGTTGGTAAGGTGCCAGCCATCTTATCTGTTAGTATAGATGTTACCTTGAAAGGGATTCATTTGCTTCTAACCTAAAATTGCAGAATCCTTGAGTCCTAGTTAGTTAAAAAAAAAACTTATAAATTTAGTTCAGTAGTCTGTGAGTCTGTGGGTATTTTAAAAAGATAAAGTTCAATATTAATTTCTAAATAACACACACATTAATTCCAGCTTTTATATGTATGTGTGTGTTTGTGTGTGAGAAAGGGTGCTGACACTTGAGCCCCACAGTGTGCATGTGGATGTCAGAGGACAGAGGGCAACTTTTCCTAGTGAGGTCTGAGGATTGAACTCAGGCCATAAGGTTTACGTGGCAAGCCTCCCACTAAGCCATCTTGTCAGCACAGCAATCCCGGTTTTAATTAAAGTTTTTTAAAAATTTTATGTATGTGGGTATTTTTGTCTACATGTATGCCTGTGTACCATGTGTGTGCTGGTGCTGTCTGACACCAGAAGAAGGTCCCCTGGGACTGGATAGGGTTACAGACTGTTGTAAGCTGCTTCTATATGCTTGAAATTGAACCAGGGAGTTATAGATGGTTACGAGAATCATGTGGGTGCTAGGAATTGCACCCAGGTCCCCAAGAAGAGTAGCCAGTGATCTTAACCACTGAGCCATCTCTTCAGTCCCAATAATTCTGTATTTTATGTTTAGATTTCAGCAAATCTTAATAGCTAGGAAATAATCTATAGACAGCTAACCAACAAACAGAAATTCAAGAGATGCTGGCCTTACCAGCTGAATTAGTTCGGGCCACAATAGGGGTTAGCTCATTTTACAAAGGGTTAAGCCCAAAAGAGGAAACTCTGGGAGAAGAAATATCAAGTATATCATCAGTTCAAAACACAGGATTACAGCTGGAAAATGAGGAGCCTAAATTGCCCGTGAATCACTGACTTAAAACCAGGAAGAGCTATAATTAGTCTCCGAAGTCAGGCAGAGGTGACAAATCAAGGTCCCCAGGTCAATTGGGAAGGTTTCAAGATTCCAGTCTCCATCTTGGTCTGTACTCTTGGGCAACTCTTGACCTGATAATAGTTGTACAAAATTTGGATAATAAAGTGGAACTTAAAAGTTGTTCTGAAGATGTATATCTAAGGGGCTGAAGAAAGATTGAGGTCATGTCTTCCAATCATACTAAATTGCTTACTTTCCTTACAACTAGAACAGGGAGGAGGTTGGTGGTTTCACATAGCATGAAACAGTTTGAATAAAATTATACACTGCAGTATTGGGCTCTCCCTGCCATGCTTTAGCCCTGCTAAGGATGGGATCCTCCCCTCAAGTGTTACTTGTGGAAGGCAAGTGCTCTACCACTGGGTTGGTGTTAGTGCGTGTATGAATGCATTACCTGAGGTCTAGAAGAGGGCATCAGATCTCCTGGAGCTGGAGTTACAGACTTGTGCTGGGACCTGATCTCTCTTTGGTCCTCTGCTTAAGTACTGCTTAAGCCTGCTCTCTAGCCTAAGGGTTGGCTTGTTTTGTTTTGTATTTAAAGACGGGCTCATATTATAAACCTGGCTGAGCTGGTACTCATATAGCTCTAGGTTGACCTTGAAATCATGACAATCCTCCTGCCTTAGCCTCTTGTGTACTGTGATTACAGGCTGAGCCTATGACATCTGAATATTCATCTTGATTGAATGAAATATTCCTGGTGCTCACATTTTTCCAGGTCCCTCTCTCGGTGATGAGCCTGTTTTTTTTTAAGACTTAAAAAATATTTGTGGGGGGGTTGTTGGGAGGGAGAGAGAGGAGGATATTGGATATTGGATCCTTTGAAACCGGAGTTACAGGCAGTTGTAAGCCACCTGATATGGGTGCTGGAACCCAAAATGGTCCCCTGGAAGATTAGTAAGTACTCCTGGCTGCCTAGCCATTCCTCCAGCCACAGCTCTTATCTGGCTTTGGCACATATGGCTGTAATTCCAGATCTCAGGTTGAGGTAGGATTGAGGGTTGTAGGCCAACCATGCTACATAGCAAGACTGTCTTAAAAAAAAAGAAAATCACATAGCTGGTAACTGATTGTTCTAGCCTTCACTGAGGGAATGGGGGCTTTTGCTATGCTTTCTGAATGTAAAGTGCTTGCTAATTTTAGCTGGAGGAAAGCAGGAATGTTCAGAAACAAATGAAGATTCTACAGAAGAAGCAAGCCCAGATCGTGAAAGAGAAAGTTCACCTTCAGAGTGAACACAGCAAGGCCATCTTGGCAAGAAGCAAACTGGAGTCTCTTTGCAGAGAACTTCAGCGTCATAATAAGACCTTAAAGGTTAGTTGATTTACTGTTTTGAAGTGATGTCACAAAAGGTCATCTTGTGTATATTTGAAATCTGTGCCTATCTAGAGACTAGATATGACCCTGTTTCTGGTTTGCTTGGACTGATGCTGTGAATGAGGCAATATAATGTGAGACTAATAGAACACTATCTTTTTTAAATTTGGGTTTCCTGTTCAAAAAAAGGAATTCCCTCATATTTGGTCACATGGAGTAAACATGGAACTCCTACCTAACTTTCTTTTTAAAAGATTTTCTTTGTGTGTATCATGGACATCTCTAGTGCTGGAGGAGGCCTGAAGAGGGTGTCAGATCTCCTAGAATTGAAGTTACTGATGGTTATGAGCCACCATCTGCTGAGTGCTGGGAACTGAACATGGGTTCTCTATAAGAGTAGCAGTGCTCTTAACTACTGACCTCCCTCCCTCCTTCCCTCCCTCCCTCCCTCCCCTCTCTTCCTCTCTCACTTCCCCACCTCTCAAAGTCATGGTTTTAAAAAGCTCAGAGTTGCCAGTTTTTGTCTTGTTTTGTTTGCTGAGTTCTAAAGTAGCTGCCATGAAATGAGAAACTAGTAAGTACATTTAGAGTCGGTGAGAAAGGAGTAGTGCTGAGCACTCGGCACTGCACTGCCCAAGTTTCCTGCCTCACTCCTAGCTCTTGGTTACTGAGTACTTTAAGCAGTAGCATTTAGATCTTGGCAGATTTATGTAGGAAAAGTAAGTAGGTATGAGTTGGTATCCATGGAGGAAGAACGGAAAAAAAGAGCCATGAAAAGAATCTGCCTCTTAACATTATAACTGACCTGTCCATCTGAGCTGGTACTCTGAGTAAATGCCCTCTCATCTGTATCCCAAAGACCTAGGTCCAACAGCATTTAACTTAGGACATGGATTTTTTGATAGATGGGAGTTATCATTTGCTTCCTTTAAAAAAGAAAAACAAAAAGAATTATTTATTTATTTATTTATTTATTTATTTATGTATTTTATGTAATGAGCACACTGTAGCTGTCTTCAGACACATCAGAAGAGGGCATCAGATCCCATTACAGATGGTTGTGAGCCACCATGTGGTTGCTGGGACTTGAACTTAGGACCTCTGGAAGAGCAGTCAGTACTCTTAACCTCTGAGCCATCTTTCCAGCCCCCTTGCTTCCTTTTTTTTTAAAAAAAAAAAAAAAAGATTTCATTTATGGTATGTGTGTGATTGCATGCTCTTGATGGGAACCTCAATCCCTTGGAGTTACAGGTGGTTCTGAACCAACTGATTTGGATGCTAGGGACTGAGCTTGGGTCCTATGGAAAAACATTAAATACTCTCATATTTATTAATTTATTTAAAAAGGTGTGTATTTCTGTGTATAAATATTTGCATGCATATATATCTGTGTACTAATACAAAGCTGCTGACTGTAGAGGTCAGAAGCATGCATCAGAAATTGGAATTAGCCTGAGCTGGCAGTTAATGAGTGGTTGTGAATGAGTGGATGCTGGGAGTCAAACCTAGGTCCTTTGCAAGAATAAGTATTAACCACTGAGGCATCTTTCCAGCCCTGATTATAATTAGATCTTAAAGTAGATGGTACCTAGGTTAAGGGCACAGGCCTATAAGCACAGCTAGTTGGAAAACTGAGGCAGGAGTATTGCAAGTTCAAGACCTGCCTACACTGTAGAGCAGCTTCACTGTCAGCCTGGACAACTTAATGAGATCTTGTCTCAAAATGAAAACTAAAAACTGGGCTGGGGATATAGCCTTTAGGGACAGCAGATGTCTAGTGTGTTCAAGGCCACTTCAATCCCACTTAACTTACTCCTATCCCACCCCCCAAATAAAAAGTTAGATGGTATCCCCCCCACAGCTAGTCATTTTGAATGGAGTAATAAAATATACTTGAAGGTAAGCTTTTTAAAATAAGGATGTTATGGTCTCTTGACCTAGAACATAAACTGAAAGAAAGGTTGTTTGCTCAGATAATCTGATTCTCTGTGTGGTTATCAAGAAGCCTGTTCTTTTGGACAGTCATATGTATTATCCTTGATTGATATAATTCAGTGTTCTGTATGGGAAAAGAGAAAAGTAGTATGCTTTTTAAGTATGCTTTCTAGTCCTAAGTATGGGGGACAAAGTGTACCTTAGACGTAATGTTTCAGGGCAGTGGTGTAGTAAACATATATCACAGCAGCTTTTTTGTTTTCCCCACATGCTAGGCAAACACTTTTTTACTTGAGCTGCATCTCCAACCTTTTTTTTAAATTTGGCATGTCCATTTGTGTGTTGGGGGTGGTAGTGTATGTGTGCATGTGGAATCCCCCCAGAGCTAGGATTATAGGCATAGACTGCCATGCTCTAATTTTTATGTGGGTATTAATTTGAACTCAGGTCTGTAGGCTTGAGCAGCAAGCACTTTACCAGTTGAACCATTTCTCCTGCATTTTCTTTTTGCTTGAGACAGGGTCTCACTAAGTTGCTCAGATTGTTCTTTAACTCATTCTGTAAGCCCAGGCAGGCCTTGAACTTGGGATCTTCTTCTCAGCCTCCTGAGTAGCCTGGCCACAGCATCTTTTTTTGAGCATTTGTCCATAGGTCTCCTATTAACAGAAATTCTTTTGACTACTAAGGAGGAAAATATGCAGCAGGCGCGAGAGGAGGAAGAACGACGTAAAGAAGCAACAGCACATTTCCAGTTAACTCTAAATGAAATCCAAGCTCAGTTGGAACAACATGACATACATAATGCCAAACTGCGACAGGAGAACATTGAACTGGGAGAGAAGCTAAAGAAGCTTATTGAGCAGTATGCGCTAAGGGAAGAGGTAATAGCACTAGATTGTTTTATACTGCTTCTCACTGTTAGTAGCAACTTCTCTGTTTACTACTATAGTAAAAGTATTGCTGCAGGATGTTTTAGAACTTCTGTCCATGTATAGCAGAAGTGGATTTATTGACTAGGAAAAGAATCAAAACATTATAGCATTATGAACCAGAAGGATTGAGAATCTGTCTGCACAAATAGGTAAGATAATTTCCAGGAGTCTTATTAAATACTAGTTTCATGTAATACTAGAAGATGACAATTCTCACAACACAGATTGTTTTCTTATTTTGACTAATAACGACTAAATATTTGGTCCCAGAATACCCTGCATCTCAAACATTTGTGATTATACAGTACTGTAGCCATTTCATTATATCTGTTTCAGGGTTTGGTTTAGTTTGTTCATGTTTTTGGGTTTTTTCTTTTTTTTTTTTTGTCATTCAGATTGGGTTTTGCTTATCACCCTAGGTGGCTTAAATAGATCATGTTTGACCCTCCCAGGTAGCTTACCACAGGCATGTATAAAGTATGACCAGCTTTACATTTAAAAACCTAATTTATTTTTTACATAGGTTTTTAGTTAATTGTGCTATTGGTTAAATCCAGGGCCTTGGCTATACTCTGAGGGCTTTCTGCTACTGAGCTAGCTACCTTGAACAATATTTTTTTTTCCGCGAGGAAGCGTTTATTCAGGGCATGGAGAGACAGAGCAGAGAGGTAGAGGAGTAGAGGCCAGCCATGACCATGTAGAGAGAGGGGGAAGGGAGAGGGGGCAGAGAACCTGCAGGTGGGGATCCATGGAGCAAGAGCAACAATATTTTTTAATTTACCTTTTAGTGAAAACAACCCCAGGGACCTTGTGTATGCTAAGTTATGTTTTATCATTTAACTTATACTTCAGGCCTTATACAGAGGTCTTTTGTGAGGTTTTTTTGTTTTTGTTTTTGTTTTTGTGAGGGTAGGGGGTGTTTTGAGACAGGGTTTCTGTGTGTAGCCTTGTTGTCCTGGAACTCAGACTGTAGACCAGGCTGACCTCAAACTCAGATCTGCTTGCCTCTGCCCGGGATAAAAGGCATGTACCACCATGCCTGGCCTTTTGTGATTTTTCTGTTGTTTTATCTGTGACCTAGGCTGACTTGAAACTCACTGTATTCTTGGCTGGCTTGGAACTCATGGCAGATGTAGTGTTTGCTACTTGAGTGCTAAGATGTCAAGTTTGATTTTTTTTTCCCAGTGTCTCACTATGGCCTTGAATATTTTTTAAGTTTTTCAAATCTATTTTAAATTATATATATATGTGTTTGTCTTGTCTGGGTATGGATTTGCACACAAGTGCAGTGGCTACAGTGGCCCAAAGAGGATATTAGATCCCTTGCAACTGAAATTACAGGTAAGTGAGAGATGCCCAAGGTGGTTGATGGGAACCAAGCTCAGAACAGTACTTGCATTTAATTGCTAAGCCATGTCCATAGCTCCTGTCTTGGACTCATTGAAAAAAATTTAAATTATTTCATGTGTATGGATATTCTGTTCGAATGTGTCTGGTGTCCAAGGAGGCTAGAAGGGTGTCAGATCCCCTGAAACTGGAGTCAACACATGGTTGCAAGCCATCATGTGAGTGCTGGAATCCAACCCAGATTCTCTGGAAGAGCAGCCATCTCTCTAGCCCCATTTGTAGATAGTGTATAAATCAGAAAGTTCTTTTTGACCATATCATTTTCACATCTAAAAAGTGGTTATTCACTGCTAGAATGTATCTGCTTTTCTTTTAAAATTTTATGTGTGTGGGTACTCCAAGAGGTCAGAAGAGGATATTGGAGTCCCCGGAGCTGGAATTACATGCAGTTGTGAGCTGCCCATTGTTGGGTCCTCTGCAAGAGCAACAACACGAAGAGCAGCAAGAGCTCTTAACCATTCCTATTTTTCTGCTACTAAAAACAAAAGTCTGAATTAAGAACCAAATAAAGTATCTGTTTTACTAGTTTATGTCTCACCTTCAAAATATAAGATTTCTTTGTCCTGTTTTATTATTGAAGACCTTATTAGTTTTGTGGTTTTGTCATACAGGCTAAAATTTATTAAAATTATTAAAGCCCTGATTTTCTTTCTTTTTGGTTTTCTCTGTAATCCTGGCTGTCCTAGAGCTCACCATGTAGACTAGGCTGTCCTTGAGTTTATAAAGATCCTTCTGCTGGCATTAAAGGCATGGGCCTAGCCCTAAATCTTTTTTTTCCCCCATTTCATGTGCATTGGTGTTTGCCTGCATGTGTCTCTGTGTCAGGGTGTCAGAACCTCTGGAACTGAAGTTACAGTTGTGAGCTGCCATGTGGGTACTGGGAATTGAATTGCTCTTCCTCTGGAAGAGCAGCCATGTGCTCTTAACTGCTGAGCCATCTGTCTAGCCCTTCCCCCATTTTCTTATGATTCTTTTAGTTTTATTAATGGGCTGTCTGCTTTCTCATAGATGCAGCAAATTAGAAAACCCTGTTTGAATCCTGTTATTTATGATTATTACCATGGCATGTTCATATTCACAAGTGAAGAAATCATCTGCCATGTTCTTAACACCTAGGCTACCTCATCATTGCCCATTAGTATTCTCCCTGTCACATATTCTGTGAAGAATCTTAATTCTCCAGCTCCAAGAAGGCATGCATGTTTTGATGGCTTCAGTTATATAGCTAGCCACTTACCAGTTCTTGGAAATTCAGGCTTTTGCCAAATGTCTGCATGGCACCAAACACCTTACATGGTTCAACTACTCACAGCTCAGCAAATCTGGGTATGATTATATCAGATACTGGCATTGAGATTTAGCAGGACAGAAATTTGCTTAGTGTCACAGATTAGCTTAGCTTTGATTCATATCATTCAAGTTGTCAGATGCTGCCTTCAGCTGACAAATTTAGCAAAATTTAATGGGTAGGGAAAAAAAGGAATGGGAAGAAAAAGCACTGTGTGTGTACAGATCTATTAGTTTGATCTCTTCTTTGTCTTGTGATGATGCCTAGCTCCAAAGGGCAGTACTCTTGCAGGTGATGTCAAACACTACTTTAGGTGTAGAGACAGAAAGACCTAGTATTCTTAGCTATGTGGTATTAATAGGAAAGCAGAATAAGCAGAGTGTTGTAACATCTTATATTTCCTCACCATTGTGTTCCTGTCTTCATGAAGTGATGGAAGGAATTCTTTTTCCATAGCATATTGATAAAGTATTCAAACACAAGGAATTGCAACAACAGCTTGTGGATGCCAAACTTCAGCAAACAACACAGCTGATAAAAGAAGCTGATGAAAAACATCAGAGAGAGAGAGAGTTTGTAAGTTTTGTTCCTTAAAAAAAAAAAAAAAGGAAAAGGTATTGCCAGTACTTTAACTTAAACATTCAATGTCACTCTTGGGGTATGATTAAAACCACTACAAGGCTTTTCCTACTTATTTCTGTTAATAGATCCACATCTCTGTCTTTTGAATGCTAGGATTAATAAGAGATGCATTACTATTCCTTGCCCTTGTCTTGTTTTTGAACAAGTTGACACTAGGGAAATGATTTATTTTTGTTGGTGTAATTTTTATTTTATTGCGTCAGGGTCTCCAATAAGGACATACCCCTTTTATTTTATTTTTGTTGAGTCGGGGTCTCACATTGTAGCCCTGGCTGGAGGATGACCTTGAACTCCTTGAACCACCGTACTGAATTTAGGAAGTTTGAGGATTGAATCCAAGGCTTTCTGTCTATAAAGCAAGCGCATCTCCAGTCTTCCACCCATTGTATTTTGTTTGTTCTCTAAACTTTTATTGTTCTCCATACCCTTTCACTCCATCTTATCTTGCTCCTCGGGTAGCAGAGAAGCTTGCTCAGTCATGTTTGAGGAGGTACTTAGCTATGTTTTCTGGTAATATCAGACATGTGATTATTTTCACCCAAAACACCATCCTTAAAACCTCAAGTTCATGAACTGTTTATACCTTTTTATGCTTAAGCAGTACAAGTAAGGTATTCAACCATGTCTGCTTCCTAATGATGGCAGGTGTGTGTAAATGGTAACTGGTGGAAAGAAGGTATTCTATTTGTAGGGTAGTCATTCTTGCTAAAATAGTGAGCTGAAGGATGTGGAGTAACTATGCTATTTGACATTATATTCATATTTTTAATTGCTATTAGTACTTTTGCAAGGATGTTTCTGTTTTTTAGTTATTAAAAGAAGCAACAGAATCCAGGCACAAATATGAACAAATGAAACAGCAAGAAGTACAACTAAAACAGCAGGTAACTTGATAGTTGGGGATAGCAGAATTTGTAAGAAAAATGACTCATTTAATACATACCTGGAAACTCCTCTAGTGTGGTTTTGCTTGTTCCCAGCAAGAGCTGATACAATGCTGAGGAAGCAGTCTTGAATATCTCTTACATGTGTCTTTTCATTTAGGGTAGCCATCCAAATTTGAATGTCCCTGGTTTTAGTACTAAAAGACCTATGACTTAGTAGTAATAGCTCCCACTCTCAAATCTCAACTGAATTGGGATGGTTAGTTATCCATCTTTAATGGTTCTCATTTTCAAGGTCCCAGACCCTTTCTGTCTCCATACCCTTTCACTCCATCTTATCTTGCTCCTCAGGTAGCAGAGAAGCTTGCTCAGTCATGTTTGAGGAGGTACTAGCTATGTTTTCTGCTAATATCAGACATGTGATTATTTTCACCCAAAACACCATCCTTAAAACCTCAAGTTCGTAAACTGTTTTAGGCCCCCACTATACCTTTTTATGCTTAAGCAGTACAAATAAGGTATTCAACCATGTCTGCTTCCTAATGATGGCAGGTGTGTGTAAATGGTAACTGGGACTGACAAGTATATTCTGTTTCAGTATATTCTGAAGTGTCTTACCTCATATCCCACATTAAGGAAAAACGACAAGCTTCCAGGTTTAAAGAATGTTAGACAGTTTCACATACCTTATCCTAGTTGTACTTTTGTGCTAATTTGTCACCGAAGCTGTTTTAATACTGCTTGTAATCACAGTTCCACTTAAAAGGTAGTTTTGTGAAATACTTTTAGCCACTGCTTTCCCTCCCTTTTCATTCCATCCTGTGTAGGTGTTCTGGTACAATCTGTTTAGAATACGTGTAGTGTGTACCACCCATATCTTTACTTGAGGAGAAGGTACAAGAAAGATTCCCTGTAGTAAGTGAAATGAAGTGCTTTTTAATTCGCTAGGTTCTATAGTACCACTTCTGGATACTATTTTGGGGGGATATGGTGGGACATTTTACTGTATTGGTGATACTAACTTCCTACAAAGTTAGCCTTACTTAAGAGTACAAATTTTAACAGGTGTTTATCAAAAGTCTCTGGAACTTTCACTGTAGGTTATGATCATTGGCAGAAGGGCTAGTAGGAAATTCAAATCCATTACTTATCAGTCCTATACATTCCAAGTTAATGGAGACGAAACTCAATGTGGATAAGATATATAGTCTGTATTTAAGTGGCTTTCTGCAGGTGCTATCTGGGACCTGTGCCATCTTACTGTTTCCTTTGCTGTCATTTCTTTTTCTGTTACCTGAACATTGCCATCCTTTCCAAGAGTTGACTTCATTTGCTGCTCTCTGATATTTCATAGTAGTTGCCAGTACACTTGTCTTATTGGTGTGCCTTGGTCCAAGTGGGTAGTTAGCATCTATTCACTACTGTGGACTACCATTGATCTCTAATGATAGGGGCTTTACATGGATGTCTGATGTTCAGTTAGAGCAGACCTCACTGAAACTACTGGAGTATCTTATGAGTGCAAAAGTACTCTAATTGAGTATCACCATTGCCCAACTTCAGGCCATCAGCCTCGCTTTTGCTCAGTTCCATCTGTTCTTTTGCTACACTTTTCTGCAGGCACTGCTTGTTGCCTATCTCCCAGTGATTACTTCTAGCCTGATCAACTGTCTGCTGCTGCTCCCCCCACAGTAGCACCTGCCATGTGACACCTACCTAGGAACTGCGTGTGGGTGGGCCATCTTCCATTATATCCTACCCCAGCCTTACACATTTTGTTCGATGTTGTATCCTATAATATTCCTATCATATCACTAATTAAATTTTTTTTTTTGGGTATCTGAGGAGTTGTATTCCTCTCACCTTATTTGGTTCATTACTGGAGATTGAACTTTATGGCCCTGCTCACGCACTAAGCATCCTGCTCACCCATTAAGCAAGCATTCTTCTGCTAAGCTGTAGCCCTAGACAACCCCTCTACTTCCTAAGATTAAAGTGTTTATGTGTATGAGTGTTTTGCCTGCCTCTATGTGCCTGTTGCAGAGATCAGGAGGAGGAGTTACAGATAGTTAGTTGTGAGCTTCCATTCATGCTCTGGGAATCAAAACCCAGGTTGTCTGCAAGAACATCAAGCACTCTTTCTAGCCTGCCCCTTTATTTATATTTTGGGAGAAAAAAAATCCTTTGAACTTGTTTCCTTGTAATGAATAACATTAGACCATTTCTGAAGGGTTCCCTCCTAGAACTTTTCTCACAGTCTTCTCTTTGTATTGTTATTTTAAAATTCATCTTGAATACAAATTCCTTTAAGTTAAAAGAAAGACTGCCATTTCCTAGTTTTGTTTTGTTTTTGTTTTTTCTTTCTTTCCTGGTTTTTTGAGACAGGGTTTCTCTGTACAGCTCTGGCTCAGTCCTGGAACTCACTCTGTAGACCAGGCTGGCCTTGAATTCAGAAATCCGCCTGCCTCTGCCTCCCATGTGCTGGGATTAAAGGCACGTGCCACCACTGCTCAGCAGTTTAGTTCTTTCTTTGAGCATCTCAGTGTCCCATCTACCTCCAGGCCTTTACTCAGAAGATATCTTCAATAGTAAGCTAAGAGCTGGTCTTTTACAGTTTTCATATGTAAGTAGGGGTGAGATTAAAAACATTAGCAGGTGTGTAAAATTTCTAGCTAGCATATGCATTGGATTTTAATTAATGAGGTTATAATTAATACTGTTTCTGCATTATATTAACAGCAATAAGCTTCCCAAGTAGTAGATCTCTTTGAGTTATTAGAATATTTTGCCCTCATCATGTAGAGTTTGAATTGTTTACCTAGAACTCAGAATAACTGACTTTCTATTTTGTTCTGTAGCTTTCTCTTTATATGGATAAATTTGAAGAATTCCAGACTACTATGGCAAAAAGCAATGAACTTTTTACAACCTTCAGGCAGGAAATGGAAAAGGTATTTATATATTTTAGTAGACTGAAATATAAAAGGGATCTTACGAGTTCTTTATTACTACTTGGGTGAGTTTATATTGTTAATGAGACTGTCTTTCCAAATATAGGGCTCTATTTGGTCACTTTATTCCTTAATATGTCCCCAAGTAGCTAATCTTAATACTTTTAGGATTCTGCCTTGGTTACTGTAAATTCTTATTTTTAGAAATATGCTTTTTAAATTACTTTACAGGCTTACTTCCATTCCTTTCACAAAATCCTTTTCTTGCCTCCATTTGAAAAAAAAAAAAAACAGATCTTGGGGGCTGGAGAAATGAGTCAGCAGGTAAGAGCACTGACTGCTCTTCCAGGACCTCTGGAGTTCAATTTCCAACAACCACATGGTGGCTCACAACCATCTGTAACGGGATCTGATGCCCTCTTCTGGTGTGTCTGAAAACAGTGACAGTATACTCACATATATAAAATAAACAGACTGGTGTAGCTTGACATGACCTTGAACATCTGATGCTCTACAAGCTTGCAGTACCACATGCACTTTTTTTTTCTCCCACCATGATGTCTTGTATTCTAGGACTCAAACAGCTTTCTTGCCTCAATCCTTTGCCTTTACAGCTCAGGTAACTGGGCTACAGATACATATCAGTCAGACTACAATGGAGAATTTTTAAAAGTGGTATTGAAAAGTACCATAATATATGGTGTAAGCCATGACCATTATTCCATCTTAGGAGCCAAGAATGCATGCTCTTGGTCATCTCCATTCCATCAGCTTATTGGTTGCTGTTGCAGAGGCACTCAGGTGGGTCACAACCATCTGTAACTCTAGGTGATCTGATGCCCTATTCTGGTGTCTGTGGGCATTATGTTCCTGTGCACATATGCCCTCCACATGAATATACACTAATAAATCTATATGGTAAGGAGATGGCTCAGTGGTTAAGAGTGCTTGCTACTATTCTAAAAGGTTCAGTTCAGTTCCATCACCCATGTCAGTTTCCTCATAAATACCTGTTAATTCCAGCTCCAGGAAATCTGTTGCCCTCTTCTGGTCTGCATGAACACCCATGGCCACGTGCACACAGACATACACATAAATAAAATATAAATCTTTTTTAAAAAGTGTGACTGTAGTCAAGTTGCTGACTTTGTGCTTTCCCCACCCCTATTGTGTTGTATACGTATGTGTAGGACTACTTCTGTGAACAGGTTCTCTCCTTACAACATGCAGATTCTAGCGATCAAACTAAGGTCTATCAAGCTTGGTGACAAACAGCGTCTCACTGGCCCTCTGTCCCTTTAAAACAGTGAAGAAGACCCACCAATTTCTGGCAGTGTTTGGCACGTTAAACATGTACTCCATTACTATGAGTGCTCATAGTACCACTTTGAGGGATTTTTGTTTTGCCTACCAGTTCTTTGAGTTGATAATCTGATTGAAGGGTAATTGTTAGGCACAGTAAGTATTAGCTGAATTCCAGCACATGCTCACTGTTGAAGTGGAACACAAGACAGGGGCTCCCCAAATTTGTTATCCTTCTGGAGGATCCTGTAGGATGGAAAAATACAGATCACTGTAGGTCAGTATTCAACTCAGTTCTTCTATGAGTTCTTTCCACAGCCTTTGTCCTAGTTTGTGTTAGCCACACAGCAGGTAGTATCTGGTCTGTCTTGTTCTGTTTCACTTAACAGTATCTGGCTCAGTGTCCTGACTTCAATCATAGCTGGTGTGAACTCAGTAGACAAAGGAATACTGAGAATGTCTAATTGATAGGCATAGATCAATTCATACTCAACTTCTAAAAATTGAGTTCTTGTAACAAAGGGTAAGAATGTTCCTTTGCCCAGGCATGATGTTACATACCAACACTTGGGACACATAGGCAGGCAGATCTTTGAATTCTAAGCCAGCCTGGTCATAACAAGTTCCAAAACATAGCTTTAATTTTTCCCAAAGTGCTAACTAAATTCTACTACCTCTAGTTCTCAAATGATTGGATGTTGTGGTGGGACATTAATATTTAGTCTTGAAAGGCAGAGACAAATGCAGTGATAGAGCAACATTAATCCTTTTTGGTGATTAGCTCACAGAAATAGGGATGGAATTCATCGGGGGCTGGAGAGATGGTTCAGTGGAGGACTGGAGTTCAGTTCCCAACACCTACTCAATGGGCCAGCCATCTGTAATCTGATGGCCTCAGCTCCTGAAGGCACCAGACACACATATATACAGCCAAAACATTCATTCACACGTATAATGAAAATTTTAACTGTTAACTTAGAATTTTAAAGTTGTAATTATGTTCATTCACAGATGACAAAGAAAATTAAAAAACTGGAAAAAGAAACAATAGTATGGCGTACCAAATGGGAAAACAATAATAAAGCACTTCTACAGATGGCCGAAGAGGTAAGATTAGGGTCTGTCGTTAGTTATGCTTACAGTATGGAAGTTACTGAATAGACAGCCTTTTCTTGTAGCTGGATAGAGGTAGAAGGCCTTGAATCAGGGTCAGGCATTTTTCTTACCCAGTTAATTTAAACATCTTCTGATGTCTGCTCAAACTCGAATCTATAACAGATTCTCTCCTATAAGATGCCAGCCAGAGATGTTGAGTCACTAGGCCTAAGTTAGGTCAAGTGCCTGCATCAAAGATGTGGCTGTTCTTGGGCTTGGTGGTGCGTGTCTTAACAGCACCCTCAAGAGGCAGAAATAGGACTTCTAGTTCGAGACTGGTCTGAGCACAGTTCCAGTCCAGCTAAGGCTACATGGTAAGGCTTTGCCTTTAAACAACCAACCAAAAAATGCTAGAGTTGAGTTCGGGCCTAGGAATGTATGTACATTCATTAGGCTACCTAATATGACTACCAGCAAATAACCCCAATAATTTTTTTACATGAAAAAAGGTAACAAAATACATCTTGGCCACGTTACAAAGGAAAAATGTATTGCTTGCAGTCACTACACATCTTAACTAATTTGACATGTTGGAACACACGTGTATAAAAATCTTGTTTTACCCAGTACTGGGAGTGTACACCCCCAAACCCCAGTACTTGGGAGGCAGAGGCAGGTAGATTTGTGAATTTCAGGGCAGCCAGAGCTACACAGAGAAACCCTGTCTCAAAAAAAGCCAAAAGAAAAAGTGTTTGTTTGGTTTTTTGTTTTTGTTTCGAGACAGGGTTTCTCTGTATAGCCCTGGCTGTCCTGGAACTCACTCTGTAGACCAGGTTAGCCTCGAACTCAGAAATCCACCTGCCTCTACCTTCCAAGTGCTGGGATTAAAGGCATGCACTACCACTGCCCGGCCTTTAATTTCTTTAACATGAATTTTTTTCTCAATTTTAAGGGGATCTTATCTATTTTTAAGAAACGGGATTTAAAACATTATGTTAAATAGCAATCCTATACTTTAGATGCATATGCAGTCAAGGTAGACTAGATTGGGAGCTAGGTTTCTGAGGAAACTAAACATGTATAGTAGACAATAACAGGTTTCCAATGTGGTTCAGTTATTTTTTGTTTACAAACAATACCTAATTTGTATTTAATGAGGTTATGGAACTCTCGACTGGTTTTGTTTTTCATTTTAAAAAAAAACACACAACAGAAAACTGTCCGTGATAAAGAGTACAAGGCCTTTCAAATAAAACTGGAACGGTTAGAGAAGCTGTGCAGGGCTCTTCAGACAGAGAGAAATGAGCTCAACGAGAAGGTCGAAGTCCTGAAAGAGCAGGTCTCTATCAAAGCAGCAGATGGGGACTTGGTGTCACCTGCAACGCAGCCCAGTGCTGTCCCGGATTCCTTCAAAGAGATGAACACTTCAAGAGCCCTGGGAATGCACTTGGAGGCTAGGGCCAAGGCTAAGTCAGCGAGTGAGAGAAGTGCTGCACAAAAGCCCTCTTCAGGTTCTGCTACTCAAGGCATTGAGTCTGTTGACTAGGGTGAAGTATGACCACTGTATTGAGAGATATATTTTGTGTATAACTTCCTCTGTTAGTAGTAACTATTGGTTTTGTGGTGAAAATTTTCTTACTTTTTCTACCATATCTGTATTTTCTTAGAACTACTGGATTTATGTGGTACAGGAGGCTGCTTAGCAGTTGGAATAGTTTTACTCTATAAATTTCCCTCAGCTATGTTGCACATCTGCCTCATTTTCCCCCTTTGTTGGAGTGCACGCCTTCAATGCTTTGTTCTCTCTTCCTGCTCCCTGCACATAATTTTCCTAACTAAAATATCATTTAAAATAAGGCCATTAGAGAAATTATATTCTTCTGATGGTTCTTTGATGTGAAAACAATTTATATTAGTCAAAGGAAAAATCCCTTTAATAACCCATTTAAATACAGGAGAATGGGGGAACTGGTCAGAAACAAGCTTAGCATTTTTCATTCAAATCAGCTTTTCTTGATTCACTTGACAAACTGAAATGGCCGCATAACCTTGACATTCTAACAAAACATGCTACTTGTAAACTAGTCCTATTATGCTGATTTGAGGACAGAATTACAACATGTGAAATTTGGACTACTTGACAATGACTGTAGAAGATGCTGGTTAATTCTCCACTTCCCACAAAAAGATGATTTTTTTTTCCAGGGCAAAAATATAAGTCTCCCAACCATACATTTTGGCTATTTGAAAGTTGGGTGTTCATTTGCTTTAACTCACCAAGCAGGGTCTGTACATGTAGCTCAGTGGGAAGCACTTACCATATTTTGTTTCGTAATAGAGATTGGCACTAACATTTGGTTTCCAAAGTAAAAATACTGTTACCAGCAATTTTTTTTTTTTTTTACTCTTGGGAAAACTTGGCAGATTGTTTACATAGTCAAAAAGATGTCTAGCTTTCTGGTCTGTTTCTCCTCCTTTCTTTGATGCTATCACTTAAAACAACAAAAACCAGTATTATTAATGTTTCTATACTTTGAATTGGCATGTAAGAATTCTTCGTTATGGCTAAGCCATGCAAATTACTAAGTCTATTATCTCTGGTATAATTTATATAGAAACGCTTTAAGTAAATTTTTTAAAGATTCAAGTAATGCTGATGCACCATATTCTATTGAGCAAAACTATCAGCCTGACTGTAAATTCCTGGCACATTTTATGGTCAAAACTGGGTTCAAAGAATTGAAAAATGTTCAAAAGACAGAAAACTGTCCCTGAGGTAGAGAATTATATCTTTTATCATTGGTCATGTTAATCAAGGGGTCAGAAAGTGGAAGATAAATTCATAAAGTAGGTTGTAATCTATTACTGTCAAAGTGATGTCAGAAACAAAGAAATACCTTTCAATAGCCTCTATAAATACCCTCCCGCCTTCAACTACTAAATGAAATACTGGACTCATTTCCCATGAATGTGTATCAAAAATATAATCTACTTTGAAATTATTACTAATGATCACATTTCATAAGTCTGCTGGATACACAGCTCTTAACATTTTATTAAGCCATGTGTGTAGCCTGCCACATTTTTTTTGTGGTGCTTGTCCTGTGTGGAAGACTGTAAATCTTCAACCTGTTGCATATTTTCAAGGGCTTATAAAGCAATGTGATTAACTGTCCTGGCCTGCTGCTTTCAGCTTACATGCATTTTTAGCTAGATCTTTTAGAGGCTAGGGATTCTGTATGAGATACATGCAGAATCTCTCCTCCCATTACCCTGTGAATAAAAACAGATGGGACCTCAGAGAAGGATACCCTCACCAGCCCAGTGTTGTGGCTTTGTAGCACGCCCTGTATCTACCGTATTCTAGAATACTGTAATGCTACTATGCTGGCTCAGAAATGGTTTAAATGTTGAATTCACTTACTGCATATGGTGCACTACCATGCAATCTTGATGTATATTTTTAGTGGCAGTAGACCCCAAAATGTAGCGAAAATTTGGGTCTTGGATATCAGGCCATTTCATCCTCAGACTTGTAGAAGTACATTTTCTGGTCTTGAGACCTGTATTTTTTAGTTATGTATGCAACTGCCTTTATTACACACCTGGTTATTACAATTCAATTCTCAGGTGTTGCCGAAAAAAAATCTACCTCTTTCAGACTGTAGATGGAAATAACTGTGAAAAAATGATGCAGATATCTTCTAGTTTGTGCTAAACACACTGCTTTATTTTTACAGCCCACGTCTTTCATGAGGATATGAATTGTTAAGAGGCAGTCTTGTTTTGCTTTTCAGAGACATTTTGTAGAGATTTTTCACTAACGTGAATCTGATTTTATCTACTCAATTCTGTAGAAATTAAGTAAATATGTATGATGAATTTAACAGCTTCTGTGTATTCTTTGGTTGCCCATGTGGCTTTAATTGGGTGCAAATCCTGTCTTTTTCTACCTGGTAAAGGAGATAGGGGAGCATGCACACCCACCCACCCCCTCCCATCTTCTAAAAGAACAAAACAAAGTTTATTTTAAAACTTTATTTCTGCAAAGCCAATCAAGAAGTGTTGGAAGGAAAAAGTGTAAAAGTTATCCTCGCATATTTGGGAACTTGAGCAAGCACTTAAAAGTTTGAGAAAATGACAGTTGAATCAAAGGCAATACCCAGCAATGTGTTTTAAAACAATGATGTCCGTTCTTAAGCAACATTCCTTTTTTCCCCTAATAGCTACAATATGATACAGTACGCAACAGCTCACTTGAAAGTGCTAGAATCAGAGGGTAAAGAATGCCAGAAGCCATCCCACTTACATTTCCTACTATACAATGCCTTTTTGGCGCTTGACAAATCAAGCATTCATGTAGCAATACATTCAATAGAAACAACTCATACTTTGGGTTTAAGATCCTTGCCCCTCCAGTTCCGATGTCGTGACATCTGACTCTTCATCATTGTAAATATTTTCAGCCTGGAGATAACCAAATAAATTCACAGGTAAAAACAGAATTTACTATCAATGTCTTTCAGTGACCCTTTAAATTGTCAGCATGTAGTTGCCTAATCACTGTTCAGAAAAGCTTCTAGAAAGCACTTCAAGCAACAATGACAGCGAGCGATGGTTGATAAATATCAAGATCCCAGCTAACAGTGCAATGACAAATATCGACACAGTGCATGTGTTTATATGAGTGTGGATAGAATGGTACTGAGCTAAATCTTACATGGTGTATAATACATACATACGCATGTGCGGAGGTCAGAAGACAGCTTTGGTAAGTTGGTTCTCTCCTATCACTTTTACATGGGTTCTAGGCATTTGAACTTAGATCATATAATGGTTTATAAAACAAGTTCTTTACCTGCTGAGCCATCTTGCATGCTCAGAATAGGTTTCCTTAAACTGTTCCCACCCTACAAATTTTAATTTATGATTTTATTTTAATTTTGCCTAACCTAATTTGAGATATTTCTATTACATCCTATCAGCAGTGAGATGGTTTTACAGGAGTTATGAAAAAAAAATTCAACTTACCATCTGCCATATTTGCATGATGTTATCTTCAGACACAGAGCAAATGACCCAAGGTTCATTGGGGTTCCAACTGAAGTCAGAAATCTTGGCAGTGTGTCCTCCATGGATAAACTTAATAATAAAAAAAAAAAATCTTGATTTCATATCCTTTCCTATTCTAAGACTTTAAAATATTCTAAGATTTTAAAATAGTTTCTAGAACAGTCTTCTTAGCCTGCCCCAGAATTTAGAGGTAGAGTGACATGAGCTGTATATAATCTATTACCACTCCGATATTCTGAAATCCTTTCAGGAAAAAGACTAGCACATTATTCATATGTTAAGGTAGGATATTTCATCCCTAAGTTCGCTAGATAACTATACTACTACTTCCAAATTGAGTACAATGAATAATAACCAAGCATTTCCAACATGTCTGGTTGTATGCTCTTTCATGGACCTGACTGAGGAATCTTTTTGGTCCTTCTCTAGTGGCCTTTCACAGTAGCCTCCTCTCAATATTCCCAAGGCATAATATAGTGACAGGGTTGCTAAAAATAAAATACCAAGCCCTTTAAGGTCCAGAGTTGGAGCATAGACACCAATGAAATTTAAAAGGATGGGATCTTATTTTCAACAAGACACTGCCTAACAAACCTCTGCAGTACAACTTGGGTCAGGGCATTTTAACCAACAATTAAAAAAAAGAACAAAAATCACCGGGCAGTGGTGGTGCACGCCTTTAATCCCAGCACTTGGGAGCAGAGGCAGGTGGATTTCTGAGTTCGAGGCCAACCTGGTCTACAGTGAGTTCCAGGACAGCTAGGGCTATACAGAGAAACCCTGTCTTGAAAAACAAAAACAAACAAACAAACAAAAAACCCCGCATGAGATGAACAGACTAAGATGTGGGGTCACACATGTAATCTCAGCAGTTTAGAGCTAGGACTTGGCTACAGAGACCGTCTCCAAAAGGGAAAAAACTATTTCCACATAAGTGAAATGGTGAAAGCAGCTTTACAAATAATTTGCAGGCCAGGTTTAAACCTATGACTCCCACCTCTTAGCTTCTGTCAGTTGAACCACCTCTCCTCGCTGGTAATTTACTACTCTTACATGTCCTTTGATTTCAAGCTTTCTTATGAATACACCATAATAGATTTTTTAAAAGTTTCAATTATATGGGTATGTGTGACTATGTATGTGCCCTCTGAAGCCAGATATGTCTGATCTCTCTGGAGCTAGAGTTATAGACCATGTGTACCACCTGGCCTGAGTACTGGGAACTGAATTCTGGTCCTCTGCCAAGAACTGTAGGTATTTTCAACTGCTGAGCTACCTCACTAGCCCTGTAATGGTTTTCCTGAAGGAAACTATAAAACTATTGCAAATTCGTATTATATATACAGAGAAAACTAGCTGTAGACAAAGGCCTTTGTAAAAAATACTTTACCACCATGAAGGCTAAAAGTCACGCACAATAAAATACTTAGATGCTGCCATCTGGTTCTGGTAGTTTATTGAGGATAACATACATTCACTAACTCCCGCCCCCACCGTGGCCTTGTTGATATAAATGCCAAACATGCTGCTCTGTCTAAATCTCCTATCCTTCTCTTGCTCATTTCTGTCTGGAGCTACTGGGCACAGAAGCCAAAGGGGATAAGGAGCTGACACAAAGTTGGCATCGGTGAATACCTTCTGTGTCTTGGACTTTGTAACAAAAATTAACTCACCTAAGTGCTAAAACTTCTGTTTAGAGACAATGACCAAATGGTTGGAGGAGACAACTCAGAAAAAGGGCAAAGAACCACTACTAAGCCTGTCAGTATTTCATAGAAAAGTGGTAACTTCCATGTTAAGTGCTGGTAATCAAATAGCAGTGACACTACCCTCCCCCCACAGCAAAAACAAAACATACCTGACTGAAATTAGTAAGAGCTCAAGTTACCCTCACTGAAACATTTCCAAAAACTTCTGGGGCTCCATTTACTATTTGTGATAAATGTCAGAGCCTAATCACAAAACCTTCCTGGACTTCCTTTTTTGAACTCATTGGTAAGCTAACAGGCTAGTAAAAAAGTAAGCAAGTGTTTGTATGACATTTAATCTAATGCATACCAGGAGCTCTGGAGGCCCATCCTCTGCATCTTCTGCGGACTGTTCTTCTCCAATTTTACTATTAAGAAGGAAAATAAAGCTTTCATTACTCCAAAGTCATAAGTATTTCTCTATGAGAAGTACTTAAGACAGTGGTTCTCAACCTATGGGTTACAACCCTTTGTGAGGCTGCCTAAGACTATGTGAAAATGCATATTTAATTATGATTCATAACAGTAGCAAAATTACAGTTATGAAATAGCCACAAAAATAAGTTTATGGTTAGGGGTTACCGCAACACAAGGAACTATACTTTAAAGGGTTGCAGCATTAAGAATGTTGAGAACAGACTTCGTACTTTTTTTTTATTATTGTGAGAGATTTCCTGGAAATGGGTTGGAGTCCCTTATAATTAAAGCTGCAGAGTGAGAAGAAATATTCCCCATAACAAGCATTAGTTCAGTTTCTTTTTAACTGTGGTGTAAGCCAAGGGAAGATATGTTATGAATTTTGGGATGGGATGGGGAAGGGGGCTAGGTTTAAACCCAGGGTCCCACATATGGCAGGCAAAGTCTTATTGAGTTAGCCTCTCCTTGTCTGCCCCAAAGAAATTAAATTTTGTTGGTTTGAGATGATAGCTTTTTAAATTTATGTTTTTCTGCTGCAGCCCTTGGTTGGCATGGCAGTACAGTCCTGTGATCCTAGCACTTGGAAAAGGCAAGAATATCAGGATTTTGAGGCCAGTCTGATCTGAGCTATACGAGACACTGTGTCACAAAAAAATGAAAAGGAAAACACTCAAATCCAACAATTCTGTTATCTATGCTATATGCTACTCCAAGGAGACACCAACAGTATTTTAATGCTTGTGGTGCTAGAGACTGAACCCACAGCTTGTGTGTATGCTAGCTTTATCACTGAGCTACATCCCTAGTCAACTGTAACAAAAAGTTATTTTAATTTGCTAAGCACACATAAAGAATTTAAAACTTGAGTAACAACAAAACTCAGGCCTGGAGTGGTAGCTCAGTTGTTAAGACCACTTATTGCTGATACAGAACAGGGGTTTATGTCCCAGCCCCCAGATTGTACTATCCAAATACAACTACCAGTAGTCCCTGTTCTGAGGATCTGATATAAGCACCTGGCACACGTGTTGCATACACATACAGGCAAACACTCATACAAAATACATGTCCAATTTATGTTATTTGCTGATTTACTTTTATATTGCAGAATAGAAACTCTAGTTAAGAGTTTATTGAAGTTGACTCAGCAAATTGCTTTTGTGGTTTATGAGTTCTATTATGCAACCTGTTAGATTGGTGTATTTATGCAGTTCCTTGTCACCAGATCCCAAATTACCTTAAATCCCACACATTCAGACGGCGATCAGTACCACTTGAAGCCAGAATAGTTTCATTATGTGGAGACCAGTGGACCTAGCAATAGATATTTTGAAAACTTATTTAAGAGTCCTCTGTATCTTGGTTTATAAGTATCATTTTAATACGTATTTCCTTACCTCACACTCTGCATCCACTTAGCCTAGAGACTTCACTATCCAAGTCTTCCAAGTGACCCCTACCAATCCACCTTGATGGCACTAAACCCAACACTTTATGCTTGCTGTTCTACTGAGCTACATTTCAAGTCCTTAAGTATTCCCAGCTCCCTGAGCCTGCAGGCAGGAAGTCATGTTCTCTAGTACTGAAGAACCCAGGAACCCCAGAAAACTTTAGGCCCATAACCATCCATAAACCCTTTAAAATTAGCC